TTATTTTAACTTTTAGGGAGAGAGCAATCTATAGGGATCTGCGGGGTGTGTAAAAAACCATACATGCAAGTTCTCATATATTATTCGAAATTTGAAGGTTCATGTTGATCACAGTAAAGGTTGCAACTCGGAGAAGACTACAAGTAGGGCATCCCTCCCTGATAGCATGCATGCTTCCATTTCCCTTCCCAGGGTATTTCCTTTTTTGTCTATCACTATTCTCCTTTAACCAAGAGAAATAATATATACCCTACCACTACGGTATATATACGTTATTATATGCAAATATGTTCCCAAATTCACATGAGTTAGCTCTTTCATCTGCATGAAATAGGTAATATTTAACTAGTGTACTCCAATCATGGCTCCACATCAATGTTTACATTTACGCACGTCACGTGATTCATAAATTAAGCAAATTTTCTGTATAAAGGGTGCTCCACAAGATGATGGAACGAAGCAAAGATTTTAATGACCCGGGGAAAGTGGATGAATGCATCACGCTGTGATCGCGAGATCTAGAATATGATTTTTAAAAGATCCATCCATTAAGGAAGAAGAAATGCAAAGTTGTTCGCGGATCCATGTGTGAGGTCTGTTTCAAAACGTGAATTGAGTTGTTAAAAGAGAAACAAACCTAGGAAAACAACCACGAGCAACAAGTAATAAGATATTTAGGAAACTTAAATCTTGACTAGCAGACTTCTAAAAATGTACACGAAACAGAATTTTGGCTAAGATGGCTGAGAGCAAATGTTCACTGAAAAGGCCTCCCTTTAATTGAATATAAAAGCTACACCCAATTTACTCCCTCTCCCATTTTGCTAATGAAACAACCCTATATTCAGAGTCTTTGGGTTTCAACAGCCGAACTGATTTTTTTCCTTCAAATTCACCCGACCATAACCCCATAGAGAATATGTTGTGTATCATCAAACGACGAGTTTATTCCGATGGGAAACAATATACTTACGCTTTTTTAAAAAAATGCGACTATTAAGATAAGTGACGACTTAAGACTGTTTATCCAGGTATTAGTTCTGAGTTGATTATAAATATTTTCAACTATTACTTATTAATCCCAAGATATGTCATACATGAAAGGCAAAGTTATATTTACTCAGGCGTTTTGTGGCAAAACTCATTCACTAATCCCTGTCATGCTATTGATATTCCTATTTTTTCAGCTATTTTTATATGCATATCTCTAAACTTAATAAAGCGTAACAATATGACGAAACTAAAGATCGTTTTTTAAATTTAGCATTATATAACTAATATCGTAAGTCGCAGTGTAGGATAGCAAGTTGGGCCCCGTCGTTCCTTTATACCCGGCGTTTGTTGTAGCCTTCAAAGTTTGTTTGAAAGGAAAAAAAACAATGTTTATAAATATAGATATTGACAAAAATATATTAATTTTCTGCACAATTAAAAACGACTATATAACTGCCTTCAAGAGAGGGCAATCTAGGGCTTTGCATGGTGTTTTATTCGAAATTTGATGCTTCATGATGATCACAACAAAGATTGTAAAACAAACATTTTTTATTTTGTCGCAAAATATATTTATATAGACGACTTTATTTAATCTCTTCAAATATAATTATTGACGATTGAAGATAATTAAATTAATATATTAATTTTCCGCACCATTAAAATGACTTGTCTTAAAAACTGAATTAAACTTACTGTTGGCATTGTTTTGCCAGGCCATAGCGCAGTTGTTGCTTCTTTTAGTGCAACTCCTATATATCTTCTTCAGAAAAAGCTTTAGGGAATTATAAAATAATATTATACAGCATTAAATTTTGTAAAAAAAATTTTGATAAAATAACTTTAGTCTTAGCACCTACGTTTTCATGTGACCTCTTAAAATCCTATATTAACTTGAGCTAGCTTGTGAAAGTCTGTGGAATTTTTCATTGAGAGAATGATGTATGAAAACAATACCGCAGCATGTTTAACTTTACTTAATTTTAAGTGAACCGTATGCGGTGTTTGCAAACATATAAAACTAAAGAACACACCTTTACACTTAAAAGCACGTGGAAAACAAATATTATCAGTCCTTGAAGAGAGTTAAATATTGCGAATAAATATTTAAACACAATCGTTTTTTGATAGAACACCAACAAACCAAACACCCAGGTTAGTCCAAGTATTGGAAGCAGAACAACAGAACCTATGAGAACGATTTCTGCTTATGGGTTATGTTTACTGCCCTGTATGGACGGTAAAGTCTTTCGTTAAGCCAGAAAGAATATTGAAATGTTGATCTAAATAATTGTGACCTTCCACGGGAAATCATACGTTAACGCTATTTCGTTCGTTCGAAAATATCGTTCGTTATCCGTTCGTTTGCCGTTCAAACGCTTGAAGCGTTCGTTGAAACGATTTTCGAGATCGTTCATCGTTCGAAATTGCCCGTTCGAACGCTTAGGAAAAAACGTTTGAAAATTGGTCCAAAAGCGTTCAACCGTTTGATTTACCGTTCGTTGAAACGTTTGCCGGAATTTCGTTCAATCGCATTGGATTTAGTTCAACATATTAGATTAAACATTTGCAATGTTAAAACTTTGTAGAAGAAGCGCAGAATGTGCTATACAGAAATGCTCCCAGAAACGTATTCAGTTCTTTAGTAGAAGGCTTGTAAAGGAAATAGTGAGGTTATATCGTTTTAGCCTAATCGAATGCTATTTTGTGCGCTTAATTCATGTTATGGTTTATGCTTAGCGTCATGCAGACATGAAGGCAATTAACATTCAGTGCATGCAATTATTTCATTAGCGTCAAATTTCACGTCGTAAGCTTTCTTTCAAAAATTTATCGTTATTTGAATTTCGGTAATGCACTAAATGGTTAGAATTTGTGCTTTACTATACTTCTGTAGCTTCCATAAGCCAAATTTCACCGCGCGCACAAACAACGTCGCAAGCCATACATTAGCATTACGAGCCATAATATGTCTTGGCAAGGTGCTAATTAAGTTGCATAATTATCGGAAGTCTCTAAATGTATGTAAACACACAAAACCAGATTTTAAAATGAATTGAGGGATTTTGCGTGTTACATATTAACATCGTACTTGTAAACCATGTTTATATAGCTAATTTATTTACATCTGATAAACTTATCTAGCTGGGCCTCCTTACGAAGCAGCTACTGATTAAATCTATTCAAAATTGATATAAGGACCGCATCCTAGCCCCTAGGACGGACATTTCAGCTTGAAATTCGTTGTTTTTAATGCAGTCTGACATAGCTACAAATTATACAACAATTGAAATACCCTAGCTAATATTTGAAGATATAAATACAGTGCCCTAACGCGCGTTCGGTAGGGTTACAACGAGAACTAAAAGATCCCCATTTATTGGGGGCCAGGATAGATAACGAAACATCATAGTATAAGCAAAACGTGATTTATGACAAACAGTGAATTAAGGGACCCCGCAGTACCAAGTATACCTCAAGACCCCATCCTCAGCTCTGTTCGTTACGCCACTGCATGAATATCATAGCAATTTAAATATGTACGTGCATCTAGTCTAAAACTGGTGCCGGAGCAACAAGATCCTCAGTGCCCCGCTAATAAAATTGTCTTATTCCTTAAAAAGGTATCTTTGTCTCACCAGATCTAAGCCATCTGGCTCGATCGTTGTTGGCATGTTGAAAGGTGGCAATTGCATAAATATTACTCATAAATACTATGGCATAAATATAACTCATGCATTGTAAATATTTATTTAGACTCTTAATTCACAAAAAAATACTTCATGTATATTGATATATGCACATTTCAGCACAATTCACTCCCCATGTATATTTACTGCGTCGCGCACTGCGCGAACGCAGTCTTAAATTGCCGTCGATGTTTTTTTTGTGTTTTTTACGTTTTCGACCCGGTCTACCTGGCCGCGCAGGCCAACTAAGATAGTCGTATTTTGAACTCGTTTGATTTCGTATCGAAATATTTTCGTGCTAAACACACTTCAAATAGTAATCTAAGCCTAGTAACCCCCACAAAAGAAATATTTTACTGAAACAAAAATTGAAAAAGTTTGTTGTTGCCGGGATTCGAACTCTGGTCGTGCGAACCAAAAGCAGGTAACAGCATGCACGATACACGTCATATAAAATAACACGTACACGAATCGCTGTGTATGGCCGATAGCGCAGGAAATCTAGACGTCTGTCGTTGGAGAAAATACATACAGGTAATCATAATGCTAGATTCTCGACTTGTCTTGTTTGATATACTCACTCTGCATACACTAGCACACACTGATCGTGGTAAACCTACACTAAAACGGGTTTACAGACAACGATCACATGAATCATGAAAGCCTTGTATGCCATGAAAGCCTTGTATGTACCGCACTTTCCTTTCAAGGGTAAAAACGGCCAGACCGATCCTATTGAATTTCAGTACAAACTGATTCCCAGAGTACATGATTCCAAACTCAGCCTTATTCACGTATATCGTTGCTACATATGCCTAGCACCAATAATGCAGTTTTACCCGTATATTCTGTACGAAGTGCTCTATTTACTAGAAAACCTAAGAAAGAAACATTTTTCTAAAGGAATAAATATTGACAGGAAATGGGGCACAGTTGCATGCAACGATTGGCGCGACGCAGTAACCGCCAGAATTGGCGTCTTGTTTGGTTGTTATTTGATTTCTCGACTTGCTCCTCGAATCGGAAACGTGGAACGCGGAAAAGGCTCAAATCGTATAAATGATAGAGACTGTATGAAAGTAATGAACCTATATCAATGATGTTCATTGTGTGACATTGTTTATTACAAAAAAAATTCCGTGTTTTGTGAGGTTGAGTTTTACGCTATGTTTTAAAGTGCGTGCAGTCCTTCCTTGGGCTGACACAAGCCCAAAGGGCAAGTTGCCAAGCTAACGTTTACAAACATTTAAGTTTGACCTTTCAGATATTTTGCTACATATATTTCGCTATATATAATTCATCAGAAAAGGAGCATTGGAATTTATCTTGCTTGGACAACATATCAGCTGTTGGGCAACAGGAAAATTTTCACTAATTTTGATTTGGGCTCCCTTGATTAGAAATTATATTCCGGATATTAAGTTGCAATTATGCATTGTCATATTGCACCTTGAAGCCTGCCAGCTAGAGCGGCAAAATGAGCAAATTTGAAATGGCGCCTATCAACTGTTTATGCGTGCATGAGCGCGCGGGTAAAGATCTTTACCAATAATTTCGCGAAGACTGTCCCAAATCTTTGCTGGATATTAGCATCTATGGAGAAGTCAAGGCGTTTTAACACGTGCATATATAAAGGTTAATACCAGGTATGAACACTAAATGAAACATTAGCTATGATATAAGGAAAGTTGACTGGGCCACTTTATTAGGTGCGTTGCAATTATTTTCTTCCAAGCTATGAAATCAGGCTTATCGATGAGATCATCAACAGAATTCGTATAACGGTTGTCTCGATTTAGACTAAAGTTTTTTTTTCCCTTGAGTGTATTTGCTTGGCTAAACTGTAGCTCTCTATTGACCATGCATATATCGAAATATGACACGCATTCGAAGTAATAAGATTTCATATAGATGATCATGCAATTCTCAATTGCATTTTATGTATATGTTGACGCGAGTAAAATGTATTCGGATATAAATGCGCACTGCAATATAACCTTTTAGATTGCTTATCATGGCCGGTGAAATCAAGTTGGGCCACGATCATCCAATCATTCCGAATAAACATGACATGAAAGGTTGCCAGACCTTAAAAATGGCTTGGCTCAGGTTAGAAAAGTTGTTATCTTGGGCCGTGGTGGTTACAATTTATAGGATGCATTTACTTACATTGAAACAACAATTGCATGTTTACAAACTTTGCTGACATTTTTCATAAAAAAGGGTAGATGCTACCTCGAAATATATATAATTATATGATATAAAAAGATTTCGCCAGACAAAATGGATTAATGCTTTCATGCATGTGTTAATTAACCTTGATTAGTTAATTTTACTGTAAGCAGGAGGCACAAATTGTGTCACAAGTAGATGTCTCGAAGATGTTCAGGATCGTTTGTTTCTTAAAATGGTGAGTATAAACTCCCCTGTGCATGCATTTGGCATTGTCGTTTCTATATGGGCGGCAGCATTGCTATATGCTTTGCAGAAAAAATTATTTGCACTCTTTGTGAATTAAAAACCCGGTTTCTATATGGGCGTCTGCTATTGCTATATGCTTTAGTGAAAATACTGTGCAATCTCTTCTTGCTGCCGGGGTTGAGTATTAAGTTGTCTTGCAGGGCGGAACTGAATTCGGACCTTCGAGATTGCGAATTGCCGCGGTCGTTTGAATGAAGATTTCGAAAATTATCCCATTAATTTACGCGTTCTATTTCTTTAGGTCACTATTGTTAGGCTCATGCAGGTAGCATAGGTATTTACACAGTTAACTATTTAGATAGTCGAATATTTGGGGGGAAATAAAATATTTTCTGATGAATATAGTGACCACCAAGAATTTAGTTAGCTAATTTAATATCACAAGTATTAATTAGCGATATACTGGTTCATAAGTCATAACACATGCATATGTGATCGTATGGTCACAAAACACACTTATGAAAAAATATGGCGGCAGAAATAGGGACATTGCAGCTTTAGCTTTGCGAAGAAAATATGGCGATGGGGCATGCAGTCGATAAATATTATTATCATATATTTAAGGTAGAATGATGCCCTTAGTTTCTACCGACAGTACTGTGTATATAGGCGACATTCCGCGACAAGCTTGACCGCAGCTAGAGGCTATTGCCGCACGGAACATATTGTGTGCACTAGGGTCTAGGTAAATATCCAAGCTTATATTTTAAATGTTTTATTACCGCGCAATGCATTGCTAAAATTTAAATATGGATTTTCACGTGGTTTGGACATTTAATGTAGTAGGCTATTTATACCAAATAAGTTTTGACAGCATGCAAGCACACGTTACTACGCTGGTTCGCATACAAACGAACTTTGCGTAAATGCGATATTCTGTATAACTGTTAGTAATGTCTGGTTAGCATCTGTAAACAACTTGATCCTTGCGCTAATTAATTTAGTCGTTTGCGCGTCAAAGAGTATAAGCAATAGTGTACAATGGAATCTCTTGTGTTTAGTTTAACATAAAAATGTATCCAGTAGCTGAGACTCAACCAAACTGAGACGGTGACCAATGACATTGCCTATGATATTATTATCGAAGCCAGGCCATTTATGGCAATCCTCGTTTACTCTCGGTTTAGAGCCGTGTTAATGAAACGGATGCATGCATGATGTGTTTATATGTCCTTAACCACCCATACATATAGTTTGTCCGTGGAGAGATTTACAACATCTGTAACCTTGTTGCAAATAAACACGTGCTGAATATTTTGATGGGTGTAGTTGCAGATGATGCATTGATTAATTGGACATAACGATGATAATTTGTACTAATAACTGAAGGCTTTCTAACGAATAAACCCGAATTTTGATGCAAAATGCAAATGTATATATGTATATAAAGTATAAAATAATGCGATTTAGGTAGTTTAGCTAATAAATTTAGTTAAACATTCAAATGAAGGTATAGGTATTTATATGTACACGCATACTTGCGCCAACACATGTTACGTGTAACGTGTTTGAAAATATTTCCTATTCTTTTAATTAGTCAATAATATCTTGCGTCAATCATACACGCAACAGGCGTTCAGACTAATTCGTTAAAACCGTTCATAAACACACTGTTATTTTGAGGGAGTTATTTTAACTCCTAAAATAGGAGTTACGGAAAAAGGTACAGAACAACTCACTTTTTGGAGTTAAAAGTAACTCCAGATTTGGAGTAAAATATTAACTCCGTTTTTGCAGTCAGAATAACTATCATTTAGGGGTTAAAATGTAACTCTTAAAAAGGAGTTAAGCAGTGGTAACTCTATTATCGGAGTTATATTATTTCTACTTTCAGAGTTCTGATGCAAATTGTGTTTGTGTATTGGATTATTAAACTAAAAACATTAAAGCCAAAGGTTCTCGTAGTGTCATATTGGTAAATTTATCTCACAAAATTTCTTATTATCAATTCACATGCATTTGTATAATATTGTGAGTTGTATATTTGAAAAGACAGATCAATACAAAAGCTCTGAATTGCTATATCATTTGTCTGAAAGGATCACCTTTTCATAGCCCACTTTTGAATAATTCTAACATCAGTTGTTGCTTTTAACCTCAATAATACTCTTCCTATACCCTAAATTATGAATTACATCTTAAAGACTTTGATTACTGTAAATTTTAAAGTGATAAAATGACCTATTCAATATTGATTTTTGCATCCGGCCCGCTTGAAATGCATCCGGCCCGGTGTGAAATGTGAATAAAACGGCCAAACCAAAGCAACGTAAGGCTAAAATGTGTAAAAAACTTTCCGGAAAAGGCTAAAAGTATGTTAGAAATAAAAAACATACCCGAAAAACGTCTTAGTTTGGATTTTTTACTCCTTTTTTGGCTGCATTTTACGAATTTGCCGTGATTTAGTTGCTATGGTAACAATATCTGCCATTTCATTGGCTGTTTCCCGACTAGGATATCCTTTTAAGGAGTTGTTGACGTATTAAAATTCTGAAATGGCTTGTAGCCTTGTAGATTGCAGAAATTATAGTTTTTATATGGTTATTTGCTAATTTTTTTTGCTTTTTTTGTGTTTCATGAAGTCAATAATGTAAAGGTAAAAAAATAAACACGTTATATACCGCAGCTTCAGCCCGGAGGCAAAAATCTGTGCTCTCGGTCTCGAAAACTTCCCTCGGCCTACGGCAAAGGTTAAAAAATAAACACATTATATTTTACCGGCAGCTTCGGCCCGGATACAAAAAACTGTGCCGACGGTCTCGAAAACGGAAATAACGACCTCACAGCCAGAAATAACATTATATAATCAATAGATCATCGTCAGCCCTGCCATTTTTCCCTATTTTATGGGGGGAATGGCTTTGATATACAGATGAACAGAACAGCCTTATAAACTTGAACTTAAAAGTTAAATGCCGTAGGAAGAAACTTTATACATCGGGATGAAGAAAGCGATATAAGTTAAAATATAGGGTTTAGAAGTCAAATTATATTAGTGGCACAAACATTCGTAATATTTACAAGCCTTTTCCGCCTTTTTCACTCCAGAGTTAAATCAATTCACGTTTAAAAGACTAAAATTTATAATAAACTATTAACCCGCTCCTCTAGTGCACGCCATTTTGAATTTTATTTAACTCCAAAAAGAGAGTTGAATTTTTATCACCCCCAAAAAAGGGTAATAGGTGAGTCAAAATAACTCATAAAAGAGGGTTAGATTGCTTAACTCCCCCAAAAGGAGTTAATTCTGCATAGTTAATAAGGTCTAAAAATTATTAACCCCTCAAAGAGAGTTATTTTTACTCCAAAACTATAGTTAAATTTTTAACTCCACTAAAAAAGGATAATGGGAGAGTTAAAATAACTCCCTGAAAATAACAGTGCATAAATCGTTCAAACGGCTTCAGATTGAACGTTTATTCATCCGTTCGTATTCTCGACTTTAAACGTTCACATTTTTAGCTGAATTCGTCAAAACGTTTTTTGGGTTCGTTGAAACGTTATTACAGATCGTTCACTACCCGTTCGTTATCCGTTCGTTTTGCTGTTTCAACGAAATATCGTTAACGTACGTTTTCCCGTGGAAGGTCACATATATAAAAAGTACAATCCATAATGTTTAAACATCAATCGACAAATTTACATGTAGAAATAAGTGGAATTCTTTAATTCCCTGTATAAACATACGGCTTGCATGTAAGTTTGTTTACATTTTCATGCATAAACTTTTATACTTTTTAAAATACGATGCGCCGACTAACACCGTTAGGTTCGTTACGATTCTAAATGAATATGTACTAGTTCCCCTGCCATACTACACACAATTCATGTTTATCAATTAAATAGAGTTGGTATTCCGAGTTCGTAGCGAGTTAGGATATGATAGGGTTAACACTGCTACCTTCACCTGTAATCTCAAATCTCTAGACAAATTCTTGCCTACCCTAATTCAAAAGAAAAGTGGTTGCAAAGAGCGATAAAAAGGGCCTGATTAGAGAAAATTGTTAGCTTTTCAGTAAAAGGCTGGCAGTTAAAGGTATCCAAACCTCTTCATTACGTGCGGGTCCTGCAAGAATAGCAAATACATTTGTCATTCCGATGGCAACACAGAGATTCCTGAGAACTTTCGAAGGAACTTTGCTTGTGACATTTCTGTGGGCAAATATCGTTAATATTACCGGCCAGGTAACATTCACAAATCAAGCGGCTACTGTATCCCCTTTTACAGCCATCTGTTTTCCAAGTGTACTATAAACGAAGCTTTAGTTTTCAGTGTATTCATCTTTTTTGTTTTGGCTCAGTTTAAACTTTTAAATGTCTTAATTTTCCCGCTCTGCTAAGGGAAAATTTTCTCGCGTGTATCACGCGCACCCCCCATAGTACACGCACTTATTTGTTCCCGCATGCTCATTCAAAATTCCCACCTGGCCGAAAAATTGCGGGCGTAAAGCTTCGTTTTACAATTTTTACATTCGAAGAGGGTTTTTGCAGTTTTCAATGCGGTATGTCAACGTAATTTTGCAGCGGAGATTTGTTTTCAACAAGCATATTTTTTTAGTAGTCAGTCAGTATAATTATATGGTATATATTATAGTCAAATATTGTAAATGAGTATATATATATACTTTTCAGCCTTTCAACTCTCAAAATATGTTTAAACATTTTATACCAGCTGGCTCGTCACACAAGACGTGATTGCCGTTCAAACTTGGTTATTTTCGATAACATCGATATTTCAGGCATTAATCTCAACGCAAATTGGTGGAAAAGCTAGTTCAGTGCCTCTAAATGAGAGCGGCTTTAAAGGAGCCTTTACTCTATAAACGTTTTATTTTACAGGAATAGTAGTCGTAAACTAAATTCGGACTGATACGAATTTCGACACATTTCGACGG